GGTTCTCGACTTGAATGCAAGTTTTTCTTGCTGAGTACAACAGATGCTTTACTGAAGAATGGACAAAGGAAGGGAGAAAAGGAAAAACTCACATCAATTTGGCTATCTGCTGTCATTGTTGGTAAAAAGGTGTAGTGGTTGAAGATGGTGAGATAACAGTCAGCTTTTGGTCAAGGTTGTGCTAAGGTGGGGTAGTTATAGGCTGGCTGTCTAGATAAGAGTAGAGGAATACAGCAGCAATGTGAGGCTGCAGAATTCTTTTTTTTTTTTTGCAAGATTTCTTCTGAATACACAGGTTAAAATGTACCCTACCAATGAAGGTCAGGGCCAAGTGTTGGGAATAGAGAACTCAAACCTATAGATGATAACAATAATGCTACTACATAACACCTTATAATTTTACAGCACTGTTAGTTCCAGGAGGAGCTTGGGGAATACAATATAAGATTTGTGATCCATGATAACATTTTGAATTTTTTTTAAAGTCTGTGGCTGAACATGTTTCTAATACCAGTTATTAGAGAGTTTGGCTTATAGGAATTAAAACACACCTGGGACCTAGTGCCCTGAGTTATTCAACCTTTAAGTAAGTTACTTGATATGTGGAGCCTCAGTTTCCTCATCTATTAAATCAGGATAATACTAGGGAAATAGGATCACAGGAGTTAGAACTGTAAGGATACTTTGGAGATTATTTACTCTAACCCTTTCATTTTTATAAATGAGAAAAACTGAGGCGAAGACAGGCGAAGTTACTTCCCCCTAAAATTCTACTTGTCTCACAGGGTTGTTATGAAGAAAGTTCTTTATAAACTTAATAATGCCATATAAATGTGATCTATTAGAATTGTTATTAGAAGTTTAAGGCCGTAAGCATTGGGTGTGTTGGAGCCAACTCTAACTGGCTCTGGAGAGAAAGGTACTCATACATTTTCAGTGTGAGCATTTACACCTTGGAAATAGGCAAAGGCTACAAAATTGGGGCTTGATTTTTTTCTTTTGTTGACTGTCTTAAGACTTAAAGTGATGGAGAAAATTTTAATAATGTAAATTAAAGTTAAAGTGGATCATGGGTATATTTCCCTCCACTCTTACTCCCCCAAAAAGCCAGTTGTTAAACATTTACCAACACATTCCTAGCTCTAAGGGGCCTTTGAAATGACCAAGTCTAGCCACCTAATTCTGTAGAATTGGGAACAGAATTAGAGAACCTACCTCTCCTAACCTCCCATTAGAACTGAGGTTCTTTTTAATTTGTGTGGATAATTGAGAGATGACTATGATGCTGTATCTTTACTGAGTAAATGAAAATCTTTGGATCATCTTAGCATCTGGTTTCCTTGTGTCTCCTTGCTCCAGGTAATCAAGAAAGGCTCATGTTTTTTCTGGAAGCTGACATTCTGTACTCACTGGGAATGGGAGAGGGTGCTATATTAAGCTGCAAGTTTAACTGCAGGTGTTAACCTCAGGATCAGGGAGCTTGGTGGCTTAAAGTGGCAATGGCTCTACTAAATCATCTTTGATCTCCCAAACCCCATACTCTGCTCTCTAGTCTCATTCCTGTAAGTGGATCTGAGAAAGGTATTAGGAGGAGGGGAAGAGACAGAGACAAGATGAAATCCTTTCTGGTTGGTTTCAAAGTTCCTAAACTGGGTTCTTTCAGAGTCTCTTCAGGGTTGAGGTCTTTTCCAAAGGTACCTCAGTCTCAAGTCTCAGTTGCTTTTTTGAAAAAAGCAAACAGCACCATTTCTTCTCAGTCCCTACTATGAGCCCCAGTGGCTTCTGGGAAGGAGGGCCATCCTTTCCCAGTAATCCTTGAGATTGAGAAATGCCTTTGTCCAGGATACAGGATACGTTCTTTCCCCTGGTACCTACTGGATGGAGTGATTTTACTTGGTCCTACCTAAACCAGGCTTTTAGGGAAAGTACTTCAAAAAAGTACTTGGGTCTTTGAGTACTCCAGCATCCATGAGGGAAGGAGCAGTTACTGCCTCTCAGTACACCAATCTGCAGGAGTGAACTATTGCCATGCCTCCTCAACTTACACAGGACTGTCTAAAAGTGAAGTTGCAGTGCTTAGGGACTGGCATATTGTCAAGTCATTCCAACAAGCAGGACCGGCTGGCCTTTCTGCAGGCCCCTCCACAACCGCAAACTGGGCTAGAAGGAGAATTTTCCAAGTGTTAGAGGAGAACTCCAAGAATTCCTGCCCCTCCACCCCTTAAAATACACACATAATCTCAGTTACTCTGGCAGCAGCTCTCTCCAGCCGATGACCTCATGCTTAAAGATCCCAATATAGCTTCCCCCCACCCAGTCCACACCCAACACCCATGTGGCTGGGGAAGGGGAAGGGGAGAGGAAAAAAGGGATAGGTGGTTGGATAAGACTGGCTGCCATTTGTCGTTACATAATACTGGGGTGGGTGAAAGGAGGGAATCCATCTATCCGTTCCCTTCCCCAGCATCCCCCTCATAAACCTTTAATTGTCTTACTGAAATATAGAAACCTACTGTAAGTTTCCCCTTTGGAAATAACTCGGCACGTCTGGTCGGTCCTCCAGGAAAGAGACCTTTGATCTGGCTTGCAGACAAGACATTTGTCTGATGAGCCCTCGGCCTGGGAGTCCAAGAAATATTTAAAGGAAGTGGGACACAGACTCTAGGACCAGGGCACACACCTGGGCATACCCGCTCCGGCTCACACTAACTTCAGGACCATACTGTGGCTTTTTTGGCAGAGTTTGGCAGCTAGGGGAGATGTTTTAACCCGTTAGTGCTTTTTCATCTTCCCACCCCGCCTATTTCGCAGCCCTCTTTGGCTCAGAGTTTGGGTGCAGCAGCTTCCCCCGCAGAGTAGGAGGAGGAGAAGGAGAAGGAGAAGGAGAAGGAGAAGAAGGAGGTGGAGGAGGGGGAGGAGGAGAAGAAGAAGGAGGCAACTGGGAGGAGGAGACGGGGAGGAGGAGGAGGAGGAGACTGGGAAGAGGAGGAGGAGACCGGGAGGAAAGGGTTTAGGTTTTGCACCAATACTAACCCAGCTCAGGCTGCCTCCTTTTTCAGTCCCCTCCTCCCTTACACCACGTTACACAGTCATGGCGTGTGAGGAGGGGCGTACTCCAGCGGCTGCACCCCATGCACTCCCTCCCCTTCCCAGGCGCTGCCCCCAGCCCCTCTCTCCTAGGCAACCTCCCTCCCTAGCCTCCTTCCGAGGGCCTGAGACCCCTCCCTAGAGATCTACATTTTCTACAACGTCTAGAGCCTGGGCCGCCCTCCCCCCATCCTCCTCGCTCAGAGAGGGATGCGCTTGCCCTGAACCTTTCAAGCCCGAAGCCTTTTCCTGGGCGCCCCGTTTGGGTCCCCAAGCCTAAAGCAGCGGGGGGATGTGGGGGAATATGGTGGAGGACGTTCCCTGTCCCTCCCCCCCAATTGCTTCATCTTACAGTCGAGAAATTGTAACAAATCAGACTTCAATTTACTGATGAGTGAATTCCAGTAAATGGGGTGCGGGAGACGGCGGACGGTTCAAGCATAGCAGGACACGCTCCCGTACAGGTCTGGATCTAGGAGGCAGCGCCCAGGCCATACCCACGCCCCCTCCTCCAGGCCTCCACTAGCAGAAGCAGTGAAGGGCGGAGAGAGTGAGGGAGGGGAGGGGGGGTTCCCCTACAGCTTGGCTTGACAGGTCCTCCGCTGGGCGGCCGGTGTACCTGCCCTGCGGTCCCTACCTCCCTTGGCATTGGACTTGAGCCCCTCCCCCCCATCTCCTGCATCTCCCTGCTCCTCCTGGATCCCTGGAGAGAGGCGAGCTTTTGCAAGATAAATCAGTAAATAACAAAGCTCCAGTCGGAAGGATGCAAACAATGAGGTCGGGTCCCCCAAGCTCAGGCTGGGCTGCTCGGGCTGCTGGGCTGGCTGAGAGAGGCTGGGGCGCTGGACACCTTACTTCCTGCTTTCTCAGCCCGGGGCCAGACCCATCTCAGCGGAGGGATATCTCCACGTTTGCCCTCTCCTCTTCCCCCCCCTCCAGTTCCCTCCTCCTTGTTCTGCTTCTCCTTTCCCTCCTCCCCTCCCCTTTTCTCCTTTTGCAAGAAAATAATTTGACAGTCGATTTGCTGACAGGGGAGGAATTTGCATCCTTGGATTAAAAAAAATAAAATTAAAAAAAGCGAGAGGAGCTTGGGAACGGTTGCTAGGGGTGGGTAATGGGAGCGAGGACGGGGCGCTGGGGAGCGGGGTAAGAAAGGTTTGGGGAGGGGGGAGGATATGGGGGGGCAGAACCAAAGGTAAGACCAGGTTACAGTGGCTTTGCCCGGCCTGCAGCCGGGGGAGGGGCGATGGATACAGATGTATTCTCCTTTCTCCCCTTTCCTCCTAGCTTAAGGCTCCGAGGCGGTGCATGCAGATGGGGAGTAAGTTTCCTGGAGGGGAGGGTAGATGCACCCGGGCAGAGCCCAGCGTTGCAAATTTCCAGGAGGGAAGGAGAGAAGAGTCTGCATGCGGAGACTTTTTAAGTTGCTGGCGTGAAGAGCACTGGGGAAGAGGGGTCAAGGGAGGGCGTTATACAGGGCAGTAAGTTTCCAGGGTAGAGGAGACTGCACGCTTCAGAGTAAGTTTCTAGCCGGGCAGGGCGCTGGTGGAAGAGGAGGAGGAGGGGGAGGGATCTCCAGAGGGGAGGGGTGCATGCATATAGGGACGGGGTGGGGGAGTGGGGAGTAGATTTCCTGCGGGGAGGCTGTATGCATATGGAGAGTAGATTTCCTGAAGGGAGGGTGTAGGCTTATGCGGAGTAAGTTTCTTGCTTGGGTGGAGGAGGAGAAGGAGGAGAGGAGGAGGAGGAGGAGGAGGAGGGAGGAGAGGAGGAGGGGGAGGAGGAGGGGGGGGGGGGGGGGGGGGTTGCGAGAGGAGCAGGGGGGAGCTTCCTGGAGGGAGGCGGAGGGGGGGAGCATGCATGGGGGGGGATGGGGGGCGGCTATTGAGTAGGGGGGAAGGGGCCATGCATATGGGGAGTATGTTTCCTGGCGGAGCGATATTTGTTTACAGGAGGAGGGTTGTACTGTAAGTGAGTATCGCTGAGAGAGGAGGCGGCTCTGTCATAAATTAATATTGAAATTACTCCATCAGTCCTGCACCCCCTCCTTCCCCCCTACCCCCCCAGCCGAGACCGGTCTCCTGGTAGGATTGCACACACATGCACTTGTTGCAGAGCCATCTAAGGTAGGCAAGAAACTTAATAAGTTTCATTTTTGTATTAGCTGGGGTTCCTCTGTGAGGAAGAGTTAGGGTGGGGGTGGGAGAGAGAAGAAGGACGTGGTGGGGGGTGGAGGGAGGAAAAGTTTTTTTTCTTCTCCTTTACTTTCAGTATGGCTAGGCAGGGCCTCCTTCCCCTCGGCTCTCTTCCCTCTCCCTCCCTAAGCTGCCAGACATCCCTGGTGAAGGGGGTGGGGGGCGCAAGTGCTCTAATTGGCAGCCCCGGGGTGGGGTGTGGTGGTGAGAGGGCCTCGCCATTGAGAGTTGCAATGTTATAAAGCCCTCATTCTTCCAGCCGAAGAACCACAGGGCCCTAGGGATGTGCCTTTTGGGTTTTTTGACATGCATGTGTGCGTTGCCCGTGGGGGCATGCCTGAACTGTGTGGGCTGGGAGTTTGTATATGTGCTTGTCTTGGTACTCTCCTGAAGTTATGTGTGTAGCCACCCAAATGGGACAGACTAGGTGTACTATCTGCAAGCCATCACCACCCTGCCCCTTTCCAAATCGAGAGAGTATGGCACTAGGAAGATATAAATGAGGGGCTGGAGAAACAGGTATTTTTTTTCCCCCAGAGCACCATGCTCCTCTGCGCTTTGGAAGGTGTGAAGGCTACCTGGCTTGGCAGGTTCTAACCAGCCTTGTGCCTGGAACATGTGCTTTTTAAAGAATCTTTAAGCAAGAAGGAAAATCCCTTCTGCTTCCTCCATGTGTTCCACACTGGCCTCTTCAGTGGTTAGATAAACTCATCCCAAGACTAGATGTAGCTGTTGGCAAGTTGAGTGGATTACATAGAGGTTGGTGACAACATGGCTTGTGCTGTTGTTGTGAAATACATGCCTGGGAATGACATTTGTTTGGGGATGGCAGAATAGTTTTTAAAAAGTCACATGGAAGCATGTAAACTGAATTCATTTTTTAGCAGGCCACGTCAGGGAGAGAGCTGAATTCTGATCTCGAAACTCATTCCCCAGTGCCCCAAAAAAGATACTCAAGTGTTAAAGAAAGGTTTAAGAAAAGAGATTTGTAGTTGCAGTGCTCACAAATATTTGCTGTGGACTTTGCTGATTGAAAATGATCATTATAAAAATTCCAACAAATAGAGCTGTTCAGCTATTAGCTGGTAGATCAGCAGCCTGGCCTGGTCCCTTGCCTTGTCCTGATTTCTGCAGATTTATCACGTCTGCCTGCCTGTCAGACACCCTTGATTATCCAGATTTCAACTTTACCAGAATGATTTTCTTGTACCTGTGCTTGGTCCAACCTGCCCAGCTTTTGGAGACCCAACAAGTAAAGGATGGGCAGTGAGTTCACCTGAAATTGGTTAGGTTTTTTTTTTTTGGGGGGGGGGGTAGCTCAGTGGACCGGAGTTCATTAGAGCAGGAAAAATAAAAAGTAAAAAAAAAAAAAATTTCTGAATGTTATGGACATTGAGTTTTTCTTTTCTTTTCTTTTTTTCTTCTAGTTTTGCTTTCAGACAGCCTGCTTCAGGGGTTTGAGCTTCCAGACACTTAGGAATAAACTGTTATTGTCACTTAACAAATGTTCCCTAACTAGGCATTATTTAAACAAATTAGCTCTGTTATTTTTTACCAGCTGAAAAACTGAAAGTCTGGGGTGTGTTCTTATGCGGAGTGCTGGGAGAGTGAACAAAATCTTTACTTGGATTTATCCCAGGATAGCGGAATTATTGCCCTTCCTCACCTCCGTGCCAAGGAGAATCATTTGCGTTTTTTTTTTTAAATGAGATATTTATTTTATTGCCTTCATGTTGACCATTAAACCAGGGACAGCAGTTTTCTCTTTAAGCCTAGAATGTTCTTTATGTAACCAAGGTTTGGAAGATCATGAATCATAATTCATATCTTTTCATCCCCCCCTCAAAAAAACATCATGGTGCTTGTCATGTGTGATATATTGGAAATGGTACCCAGGCGGTACCACACCTCTTTGGGCTCCTCCCTTTGAGACAAGTCCTTTTTGCCAAGGGATTGTTTGAAGGAGAGTTTGACATCTCCAAGTGTTTTTTCTTGGTTTGGGGCAGACAGATTCCATGATAAACATAGGCCTTTTTGAAGCTTGACAGTGAAGGCTTACACGTAGTGATATGGGTTAAGGTAGGACAGTATTTTATATAAGCATAGTTGTAAAAAAATGTTGCCCGTGGACTACATTGAAGTGTGAATCAGTTTTGTCTTCTTTTAAGCATCTTGTGCCTTGAATGTTTGGTGGCTTAGATGGTAGTGGATGTTGAAAGGATAGAATCCTTCAGTATTTTCTACCAGGTTTGTATATTAAAGTACTGATTTTTAGAAAAAAGCTTATAGAGGGGGTTGGTTGGTTTGGGGGTGCAGTTGGTTCCTTCCCTTTAACAAATCAAAAGGTCCTTTGGGATCATTAAAAATATTTCTGTGAACATCTATGAAGCTGTAGCTAATGTGGAAGTATTGGGGAAATTGAAACCCATTTAAGTAAGTAGTTGACTTAGAATCTGTGCCGTGGGGGTATTCTAAGTGTTTATTGATAGCCAACCAAAAGGATGACTGGCCTGGTGGAAACACATTGGACTGGGATTTTTGTCAACCTAGATGTTCTTTTTCTGGGTTGGCTGCCATATTGGAGTTCGTTTCTCATTTATTGTCTTCTCCATGACCTTAGGAGTTCTTTGAGACCAGGAGTTGTTTTACTTTTTTCTATTTGTATCCTTAGTACTTAGCACAGAGTAAGCACTTAATAAATGTTTTTATTCATTCATTCATTCATTCATTCATCTGTGAAATGGGGTGCTTAGGACTTGTGTCTCTAATTCTCTTGACCAGCCTATTTCCTTATCTGAAAAAAGGGATAGCAACAGTACCTACTTCACATGGTTGTGAGGCTCAAGTACATTTATATAAATGCTTGCTAACTGCTATTATTATTGTTATTATTACTTCCTCTTCAGGATGTAGATTGTGAGGCCTTGTGATTTTTACATTCAGACTTGAAATAATGCTGATGAAAGGGGACTTGAGGCTGTGGTACAGATAATACAAGACTGTGAGTAATCCAGAAATAATTTTTTAGCTTGAAATTTTTAATTAGCCTCCTCAACTCTTTTCTTCTCCAGTAGAGTCACAAGCCTAATAATTATGGTTGTCTAAAGTTAAAACTAGTTGTTGTTCCCTGAGATATACAAATCTGTGTGACCTTGACCAAGTTATTTCATCCCTCTGGGCCTCAGTTTCTTTATCTGCAAAATGCAGGGGTTGGACTTGATGGCCTCAAGTGTCCTTCCAGCTCCAATAATAATAATAATAATAATAAAAAATAATACTTATATAGCACTTAAAGATTTGTGGGCAGCTAAGTGGCATAGTGGCCTGGAATTAGGAAGACCTAAATTCAAATCTGGCTTCAGACAATGCTTACTAGCTGTACCCTGGGCAAGTCATTTAACCCTGCTTGCCTCAGTTTCCTCATCTGTAAAATGAGCTGGAGAAGGAAATGGCAAACCACTCCAGTGTCTTTGCCAAGAAAACCCCAAAAAGGGGTCATGAAGAGTTGAATGTGACTGAAAACTACTGATTAAGATTTGCACAGTGCTTTATTTAGGTTAACTTATTTGATCCTCACAACTGCCCTATGAGGTAGTTGCTGTTATATTCATTTTACAAATGAGGAAAATGAGTCTGGGAGAGAGTATTCCAGGGTATAAGTCTGATTTAGCCCATTTCACAGATGAGAGATGAACTCCAAGATTATATACATATGTCAACTGACTCAGAAAAAGAATATATAGGTTTCCAGAAATCCCAGGTGATATTATGAATTTGAGTCACATGGGTGGGGAGGTGGCCTAGTAGAGGAATGTTTGGGGGTGTTGTTTTGAGCTGGCAGGTGGGTAAGATTAAGCCAGATTTTCTGTGGCCTTGCCACATGGGATAATGGAGAACAGTTTGTGTATTTAAGGTGGTTTTCACAATAACATTATTTATCTTTCAGCATGAATATAGTGGGAAGAACACCAGATAAGCTTGTTTTCTTTTCTTAAATTGATATTGAAAGGATCCCTTTTCCTATTGCCTTGCATTTACTTAGCTTCAGTTTTATAAATGTACAAAGGAGATAACAACTGTACCTACCTCCCAGGATTGTTGTGAGGATCAAATGAAGTAATACTTGTAAATGTTAACACATAATAGATACAATATATAGCACTTAGTAGGAGCTTAATAAATGCTTGTTTCCTTTCCTTCCCTGTATTTATCCCTACTTATTTTTCCCCATAAAATGTAAGCTTGGTAAGGGCAGGGCAGGGATTGTTTTTTTTTCCCTCCTTCAGGTCTTTGTATCTATCTTTCTTCTCTGCCCTTCAAACCGCTCCCCCTTCAACTTAGTAGGTATTTAATAATGATTGTTGATTGATTGATTCAGACCAGAGGCTACGATCCCAGGTGGTGGGAGCAGGTGCTGGGTTTTCAGTGTGCACAAGCAATACCCAGTCCCCCCAGGTTTTATTTCCTGCCTCATAAAGCCTGGTGGCTAATGGGAAGGAGGATGGATGTGGGGTCCTGGGTGGGCCAGTGTGATGTGTGTGGATTAATGAAATTGCTGAATTAGCATCTCAATGAAGGATGAAGGGAATAAAGTGGGGGGGGGATGAAAAATGCTTGATTTGTGAAAGTACAGCTTTGTTTTAGTTACTGGAATGCTTCTCGGCTAGGGTGGTGTGGTACATTTTTGAGAAGTTAGTACAGTCTTAGTAACATGAGCCAGAGAGTGGCTCTATGATGAAGTCTTTTCTTCTGGGTAAAATAAGCCCCCCTATCTCCTACTATGAAACAGATTTTTAAAAAACTGCTAGGATTTTTATAAGACTCACAGGGTCCTTGGGATAGGTAATAGGAGCTGGAGAATCCCTTGCGTCACTTAATTTTATTGAGAAAGCAGGTGATTTGGGCTTTATCCTGGTCGGGGTGGAGGGAGA